AAGTTTGACCTGGAATTTACAATATTTATATACAACAACTACAAAAAATATACTTAACCTGAAAGAAAATGATAAACCTTTATGCAAATTTCAAAAAACTAAGTACTTATATTTTTTTTTTTTACTTTGCGAAGGTAGGTAACTATTATACGCGTTTGCAAATTACTGCCTTTTCTACCTTTATACTCTTATTTTTATTATCTACTATGCACAATAACACTTATTCGACGTTACTCGTCCAAAAGAACTAGGGGATGGATCTAAAAGAAAGGAATAGGAACGGGCTCACCAATTTCTATCCCAGACCAGCAATCTTCCTTCCAGTCTAAATCCTGGTCACGGCACCACTTTTCCTGTTAACTCCAGGAAATAATAATCCCAATCTTGATTCGTTTACAGGCATTTAATCTTCAATAAAGATAATTACAGATTTGCTAATATTAATAAGTATAATGTGTATGCAATCAAAGGAAGCGAGTACAATTTTCTGCGTCTTGTCTTCTCTCAAGCCGTTATAATAAAAAAACGATTGTTGCCGACAACGCCCGTCGGCCGCCGTCGTGATCATTCGGTAGTGTTCGGCGGTTCGCGTATTTCCCGCGCGTAGTTCAAGCGCGAACAACTGTACTGTCATGTAGTGTAACGGCAATTTGGTACTTTGATGATTCTTTCTTAAATTATAATTTGTATTGTTATTATTACTGTGCTAGGCTGATCTAAATATATTTTTGGGAAAATTGGTCACAATATATCGAAGCCGATATAGATATTTTTTAAAATATCGATGTATCAATATATCGATATTTTTTTCTACTTTCGACATCCCTACTTGCCGTGGTAAAAATTCCGAACTATCGTGATATTTTTATCAATTAGACAGAAACGTTAATAATACCAATGTTTTCTTTACAACATTGAGCAATTTGTTGTTATTAAATACTTTCAAACTAACTATCTTTTCATTGAGTTGTTCATTGTCCAAATGTTCTAAATAGGGTATTTGACAAGTTTTAGAAAACGATCTCACGTTATTGACCAATGTTTATGGAATCCGTAAAAAGGGGATATTCATCATTATGTTATGTATATCAGTAAAAATAACCAAATCAAAAACTCCATTTTCAAGTTGCCGCGAAAACGTTTTTCTGGACAATGTGGCGTCTTACTAGTGTGTGACTCACACGACTGTTATCAAAATGTCAAATGATACAATGTAATGTCACTTTAACCGGAAGTTTACTTGCGTGCGACGTCATTTTAGGCTCCGCCTAAAATAGTTTAAACCCCTGCCAATATTCATTCTAAACACAGATGCTAACAATTGGCACTTTATTTTTAATACTGTCAAATACCCTATTATAATTGGATTTTGGTTCCATATCATATATGAATTAGATAGGTATTTATATATTATTAAATAATTTACAGTTCCTGTTATTATAAACATTAAAAGCAAATATAAAATTATGGATGTTGAAAAAATACTATTAAAACAATGAATTGTCAAAGAAAACGTAGGCCCATAGATAGATACCTTAAAGTCTAACATATATACAGATAAAATCTATGTTGTTATCATAATCATCCTTAATAGAATAATTAAAACAAAAAATATACTGTATCAATGAACCTAAAACTAAACACCTTAAAAAATATATATATATATATATATATATAATAACTAAAATACATTATTAAAAGGAGTCCCTTTCGGCAAGGTTCCGAAGATACTGGGAGCATTCCCCCTTTGAATAGCTAGACTAATTCTTTGTCCGAGGTAGCTGCCAGCTCTTCGGTCTCCTGTGATGTCGACTAAAAATTACACGTGCCACGAGGAATAATATCGTATGAAATCGCCCCGATTACTCATTAATAGCCCATTCTAAAGGCTTGGATTTGCTTTTCAATCAGGTAATTGTAAGAAAATGTCTACTATATCTTCTGGGTTGTGATACTTTAACTTAGATATCAAAAGTTTTTGTATTACAATTACATATTTGTGTGTCTTGCACAAGTGCTTTGGCACTAAAAGCGCTTATTCTGTAACACAAAACAAAGATTCATCCTCTTTAGATATTCTTTCAATCGTTATATCAGTTTCATCAATAATATCAATTGAATTATTTCACTTTACAAAACAGTGTTCATTTATTGAAAATCTAATAGTGGCAAAGAGCTAATAAGATCTCTTAGATACCCATTACTTCACAAGACGAAACTTTGTAAAAGGTACAGATGACACATCTTAATGTTGCCATAAATATTATTATATGGGTCGACATTAACATAAACTGTGAATAAATCATCTCAAAAGATTAAATTCTGGCTTATAACAGTTTGTGAATATTTATATCTCATACTGCTTACCTTAAAATTGTCTTGTGCATATCTTTGATCTATGAGCACATTTTTTTTTGCTTTTGACCTAGTAATTAATGCCGTCTCACCTCTATCTATTCACGCAATCTATGAATTAATCACACGAATAAGTTCACATACTAAAACGCTTATTCCACCTGTCAAATTTAGACGTTCTAAATCATTCAGTAACTAATACAGTCATTCTTTAGATGTCTGAATATCCAGGTACATTTATATGACCTATTACCTAAAAATATCCCAAGACCAGTAAATATTCCGTTCCTATTAACGCAGGTCAATTCACCCTTTATTAAAGTACTAGGAAAGTTTATAAAGGCTAACAACATTGTCTTATGATGTCCAAACTATTATACTTATATACTTTGCCTCAGAGGCGGCCTTACCGATTGCGAGGCTCCGGGCGGCAGGTCTTTGCGAGGCCCTTTGTTCTTCGTGAAAAGTATGTGATGCGAAAGTAGGTCTGGTTGTTTGGTTTAGGTATTTGTCATGTTTAAGGAAAAATGCTTAAATTATACAAATAAATCCAATTTGAATTTTAAAATATTTTACACAAAATTAACAAATACAGAGAGACAACTTTCCCTAAGACTAAAATCTTTAATTAAAGCACAATAATCTAACGAATAAGCTACGTCATTTTCAATTGAAAGAATAGCGAGGGCTGAAAGCCGATCTTGTGTCATTGAAAAAATTGTTTTTTTTTTTTTTATATTTTTAAAATTTGCTTGGGTTGTTGCGCGAGGCCCCTGTAGGAGCGAGGCCCCGGGCGATTGCCCTGTTCGCCACCCCCTAAGACCGCCACTGCTTTGCCTTGTCACCTCTTACAATCCAACTCCAATGCTTTACTACAGTAATAAAGACACTAACATTCTGTATGCTTGGGTACATGTCCGCTTGTGATGTTATATGTGTTGTCCTATTCTAGAATCTCAACTCCACGCGATAGCTCCACGTAGTAACCAGGCTACCACACCGTACAAAGAAGAGTACCGATATAACAGTGCCTTTCTTAACCCTGATATTGGCAGAATCATCGTGCATAACGATGGAGCCATAATACCCAAAGTGGAAGTGGAAGTGGAACTAATACAGTCAAGTGATATAGCATTTAGGAAGTTAGAATCCTAATTAGCATCCTAAATCGGAAGAAGTGTGGCTTCTGACTGACTAAATCATTTAGTATCCTAATTAGAACGCGATTTAGGAAGGTGCAATAGCGTTTAAATGCTTCGGTCTCACCGCAGGTGTCACTGCGTGAGGACGTGTCGTGTCTACGATTACGAATTACGCGTGTGTGCGATGTCGGCGGTAAAAGAAAAAGAAGTTATGAGTAACATTAATATTCTTTCACCCGCGTTTTTCGTTTTTTACTTTATTTTATTTTTATTGAGCCAACGGCCAGGCCTACGAGAAGAATGATTTTTTGTTGCTTTGACATGACTGGAGCCATTACGAAAAAGTCCGACTGTATTCGCCGCGCGCTTGTAACTGACTGAATCAGTAACTAAATTAGTCAAGTATAATCAGAAGCTTCTAATTAGCCTTCTTTTTAGGATCCTAACTAGGACGTCTGAATTTAGTCAGGCGGAATAAGCGCTCACGGGGTAGAGGATTGGGTCAGTGTAGGCAACGGTAGTCTATAAGCTATGGTGGCCGCTTACCATCCAGGCGGGCTATGAGCTCGTTTGCCACCCTTTTAACATAAATAAAAAATTGCTGGTTCCCAGGTAAGAGTAAACAAACTTCCAGCACGGCTAGGGTTGCCAGGCCATAAAATGCAAAGGTCGGACTGCGCACTATATAAGGCCTGCCATTTTGCCCTAAAAGCCGGACATATTTTTTTTTATTGCCATACAATGTTTTTACATCTGGGCTGTTGAAAAAAGTATTTATACGTGATGTAAAGTGAGAATGAGATCGTAAATGGACTGTGTGCCATATATATGCATTTTATATATGCATTATTTTATGCAACAGTCTGCTCTCTTGTCCGCTCGGACGCTCGTCCGCCCATCGTCGTACGAATCGCCACTCTGATAAAAAGCCTGACAAAAGCCGGACAGGCCAAATAATTTAGCCGGACGCGACCGCAAAAAGCCAAACATGTCCGGCTAAAACCGGACACCTGGCAAGCCTAAGCACGGCAGCTTTGTATGGACGGACTTCTGTATGAAATGTACGTATTATGGAAACATGCAGGTATCTTACAAGTTGACGATGCATTACCAAGCTTTTACTTATTAGTGTTGCCAGACGTCCAGTATTTCATGGCACGTCCTGTGTTTTAGACATAATTTTAAATTTCCCACGGGGACAATCTCTGTCCCGTCTTTCAACAATAGTAAAAAAACAAAAAATATGTATATTCAATTTCAATGACGCACTAATTTTCTAGGAGTGAAATACTTATTTTCTTCTAAATATATTATTATTTTTTGTATTTGTCCCGGGGAAAATTTAAGTTCTTATGTTAAGTTAAGGTCAGTGCATTTGCCCGGATAGCAAAGGGTGCGGGTTCGAGTCCCGTCTGCTGCCTGGTCCGCGTGGAATTTTTTCTAATACAATTTTCTTTAGATTTAAACACTTGGTGGTTCTTTGTAAAAAGCGAATTCACTTACCTAATCCGCCGTTTTCCTCTCTACTTCTTAGCTTCTCTGACTCCAAAGCCTCGCTTTGTCTCTGCATTCTTTTAAAAAGATCGTATAACCCTTTTGGCACTACCCTCTCCGCAACACTCTCAACGACACTGCCAGCTAATCCGACGAGAACAGTCAGTGGGTTCGTCTTGGGAGCTGCTGTCGTTGGAACTATGTCTTTAGAATCATAGTAATCTTCAGGAACCTCTCCACTCTCTTCATCTAACTCAGTGAAAACAGGAACATCCTTTTCTTCATCACTGTCAACTTCTATAGACGTCCGATTCTCAATTTGTTTGCTAGAATTTGTATTAAGTATTTCAGTTACAATTGTGTGGTTGCTAATTGCAGTTGTATTCGTTTTGATTGTGGTTGTTTCTGTGGTACTAATTTCTTTGTCTATTATCACATCTTTCGTCGTTGTACTTGCTATAGATTCTTCTGTGGTAACTTTTATTTGTTCTACTTTAGCAGTAGTAGATTTTTCAGTTGCAATACTTTTTTCTGTAGTTTGTACTATCATAGTTGTCGTTTCTATCTTATTATTAGACGTCGTATCAATATTAAAAGTAGTAAATTCATATTCTTGCGTCGAAGTGGGCAAGGTCACTGTTTGACTTATATGAACGCTTGGTACAGTTTTTACTGTAGTTGAAAGTGGTATCACTGATAAATCTTCCTCTGTTGTACTATCAACTATACTTGCTAAATAGTTTTGTGTCGTGCTAACCAATTCTAATGGTATAACGCTAAAGTCAGGCTCTTGTGTAATTTCTAATGGTATAACACTATAGTCGGGCTCTGGTGTAGTTTCACTGTTAGATTCTATTTTATTGGTTTTGTTTTCAGTTTTTGTATCATTGTGTTTACTTCTCTTGCTTTCGTCTGACTGATAATTCATATTAGCATCATCATCTAAAATCGTATATCTAAAATTTTCTCTTGTGATTTTATCATTCGAATGCCATGGTACTGTTCCATACTTTTTGTTGTACCTAACTGAATATTCTTCATCGAAATCTATAATATTGTTTTCAAAGTTATCATCTATTGTAACTGTGCTGTGTGTTATTTCAGTCGTCTCTGGGATTTTTGGTAAAGCTAGAGAATTGTGAAGTAGTATTAGTATGGCACAAACACTTAATCTCATCTTTCGTCTCACTGGGTGGTACATCGTAGTATCATCCATCCATCATCCATCTGAAACAAACAAATTATAATTGTATTATTATTCTGCAACTGTACCATATTTTTTACCTTATTTAACTAATACATGCTCTATTTTGTGATATGAACAAGTAAAACTTTGAAAAGCGACAAAAAATAAATACATCTATTATTAAAAATCTAAGTGATAAGCAATTTTTCCACGTACACGAAGTTGTAGCACCCACTAATATAAATATACTAGCTGACCCAGCGAACTTCGTACCGCCATAAAAATAGGGGCATGTGGTAGAAGAGAAAATTTAGGGTTGTATGTATTTTTTAATACCACATTATAAAAAAATAAATATTGTCCAACAAAAATTTAAGGGGTGTGTAACGTAGTGTTCTGTCAATTTCCTGGGATAACATTCATCCTAACCCATATGAGAACACTACGTTACAATACCCAATAGTTTAAATTTAGGCGTGAAGGCGCATTGTAGGTTTCAGAACACTACGTTACAGGTCGACAACCATTATCACATATGGATATGAAAAATAGATAGTAGCCGATTCTCAGACCCACGGAATATTCATATAAAATTTCATAAAAATCGGTCAGGCCGTTTCGGAGGAGTATGGTAACTAACTTTATGACACGAGAATTTTATATATTATAAGATGAGCTATATTTGTATTATTCTCTATGACACAGCAATCAAAATGCAAGTGAACAATTAATGTATATTTCACATTGTGTAACGAAAGGTGACTTCATGAGTCATCTCTGAAGTCATTTTTCAACTACACGACTCTGTAAATAATAAAACAGGGAGAAAAAAACAGCCCTTGCTGAGTTTCTTGCCGGTTCTTCTCAGTACAAGATATCCCACCGTAGATTTACGGACCGATGGCATATCTTCTAGAAATCTACATATTCATGAGTGCTTGTAACAGCCTAAACTGAATAAAAGATTTTGATTATGAATATGATTATAAAAAATAGGTACAAGAGGTCCCGAATCACAATAGTTTGAATGATTTTATTGTTTTTTTTTGGAGTTTACTCCTTAAGAATCGATTTGCATATATAAGGGGCCCGATATGAGAAAAATGTGAGGAGTAAAATTTATCGATGAATGACATTAATGACCTCGTTACGTTTTTTGTGCGCAACCTCATCTGCGCACCTTTCACTTTTAGCCATGGCAACGGAAAGAAAACATTAAGTTGTCACAAATGTCAATAAAATAAATAAACTAAAAATAGATAAAATCGGAGCAAAATTAATGAAAACAAATAAATAACAGAATATAGAGAAATGCCGGTAAGTGTCCAGCACTCTGGAATAGTGATTTTCAGTACAGATGGAATCATAATACATATTTACAAAATGATGACTAGTGTGTGATATTTTTGAAATTGTGTGTTTCCAGAAATACATAATAAAATATATGATGAATATCGCTGATGTTAGATGATAAAATGTGTGACATGGAACCTATGATAGTCGAAACCATGGGACGATTCCTGAGGTAGGTATCTCTACTTGTAACCGACTTCTTCGGACTTGATTTTGTTTTGTGTCTGTTCAAAGACAATCGTTTTTAGAGTGTAAACTCCGGTCGTGCGTCGGAGCTGACACACACAATTTTTTTTTCCAAAAGGGTTATAAAGATACTTAAATTTCACTTAGCAAATTCCGTCAGTTTCGACATCGGCGCGTCGGTTAGGTTAAGTTACTAACATCCCGCTCCGACGTTTAATGTTTAATTGTAGGCGGAACCACGGTGTCTAGCTAGCTTGGTGATACACTAATTATATACACACACTAGCAAACCAGTGAACCAAATGTTCACCAATTTAAAAAAAAAATGTATTTAATTAATTGAGAACTGCGGAGATTTTGTGTGGTTTCGTTTGAAATTCGTGATTTCTCGAAAACCGGAAGTGCTACGTTACTCAAATCCGGTTTGTAGTCTTATCAGACTATTCTTAACTTATAACTTATTTTTAAATGGGTGATTTCGTTAAAAAGTTGCTCCAAGATTGTTTAACTCAATAAATGCAATATAGCCGACCATAGGTATTTATCAACATAAAAATAGAACTAGGTACCTTAGTTAATCCTTAGTTAATAATACTTATCACTAGTATTTATATTAAGTACATTTATAAAAAGATTATTTATGAAATTATGTAAAGATAGTTTATACTCCTATCCCATATAATATCTGTTTATTTTTATGAAAATCATAACGATACGATAACCAGGTGCATACCTTATTACCGATAGTAAAATATAGAAACTGGTAAATGGAAAGACTTTGAACATTTCATTTGAAAAGCAATCTATTATTACAACAGGTAGGTACAGGTATAATAGGTGCCAACTGCCAACACTCATAAATCAATATGAATATAAACATTTATTATTACTTGCATTTTGTGTTCATTTAATGCATACTATTTAAGTGCTTACATAGAGGTAAACACTAAATCTATTCAGAATATATAAAGTGTACATGTTTTATGGTTTAGTATAATAATTATAAACTCAAAATCTAATGCATTCTGTAGTAGGCCACGGTTCCTCAAGTTGTCCGTATCTCAGCAAATGCCTAATTAGAGTTTACGAATGATTCCGAACACAACTAGCATTTTCTCATTGCTGTGCGTTCTGGGGCATTCAATGTATGGGGAACGAGCAATGTCCTTTATTTTACTCACCACATTTATCAATTCTTTCTAAAGACCTACCAATGCCAAATAAAAGAGATAAATGTAAATTTATTGCATTGGCACCGGCTCACAGTATTGTAAATTTGAATTATTATTATTCGACTTTAGTAAAGGTGATTTAATCTTATTTGATTTAAAAAAAAACATTAATTCCATCTTTATGAACTTATATTTTAATGAAGCGTTTTTATTAATAAAAATATCGCTGCTAAAACTTCTCTGCGAAACAACGAAAACTAAAAAATCGAAACTACATTATGAAAACCACTTGCACTTGAAAATGAAGGTTAAAAAATATGCCACAGAACTGTACGAGCGGACACAATAACGGGCATACAGGTCAAACCCAGAATTCTCCTTTTTTTACTAGGCCACCCTTATAGGATCACTTTGTTGTCTGTCCGTCTGTCAAGAACTCTTTTCTCAGGAACGCGTGGAGGTATCAAACTGAAATTTATATCAAATACTAAGATGGACTGTCACTGAGTACTGTAAAAAAATCAAACTTCTAAGCCAACGCTATCAATACATACAGCCGTATATGCCGCAAATTTTCGAAACTCGCACGGGAATCAAAACCTACAGGGTACTTCCCGTGAACTTAGAATCTTGAAATTTGGTACGAAGCAACGTCTTATAGCACAGATAAAGGAAAATTTGCGAAAACCGTAAATTTTTAGTTAAATTACATATAATAAAACTAGTTTTTTACGGGTTAATGCACGAAACTTTATTTATTTATTGACGTTTCGTAGCCTTTACAGGCTTCGTCGTCAGAATAAAACATTTATTTAATTTGTCGAGCTACCTTCGAAAGACTTTTATTGAGCGTTTGGTTATTTCATTGTTCGATTTTTAAGTTTTATTGTCTATGTATGAATGTATTTAGTATTTTATTTAAAATTATTTTTTTGTAATTTTGAGTTTATTTATTTGACTCTAACTACCGTAAACTACCACCGGTTCCAAAATTGGGAGACCTTTCTGAGAAGAACCGGCGAAACAAACTCAAGAGAGGCTTTCTATCTCTCCGTGCATTAACCCGTAAAAAACTAGTTTTATTAAATGAGTGATGTGCGTGAAAACCTAAGAAACAAATATAAATTACATATTTTACGGAACCCTCGATGCGCGAATCCGACTCGCTAAACTCTTTTGACATTTTTTCTTGTTAAGTTTAATTGGTAGCCTTCATATCAAATCGGTTCTTAAGCTTCTTCATATTCCACAGTCACACATAACGAACTTCACGGTCAGTAGCCGAGTGACTAAAGCTTGTACTACACTATCAACAACTCAATCATCATTATTATAATTATTATAAAAAAAAATTCGAGTGAATAGTGAGAATGTGAACAGTGGTACGGGTATCGAACGCAATAAAAGACTTCGTCGGGGGGTAGACCGATATGTCTGCCAATAACAGCCTACCCGCAATTACTTCAGTTACTCCGTGATCATGGCGCTTGCAACAGTGCCGAAATATCGGAAACTCGCTAAAACCATGGTACATGGTAACAATCCCGTTAATAACTTATATTACTATAATGTTAGTGACCATGAAAATTTAAAACAATATATTATAAAATTTATTCATACGTACACTTTTATGTGGCTTAGATGACCCTAAGTGTCGCCGCACACGGACCACCGACCACAACCACAAAACGCCGCCACCGGCATATTTCTTGTAGTTTGCATACATTTTACATGGACTCGCCACACTCGGTGCGCCGGTGGCCGCCACACGCTACAAAACGTCGTTGCTCGCTTCTTGTGCCCGCACCGGCCACTTAATGCGCCGATACAAAACGCCGCCACACGTCATTCGCGCGATTCCCCACCCCTCTCTCCCTTACCTTAGTCGGCCGCTGTCGCGTGTTTCAGCCACCTTAGTAGCCGCTTCTAGCTTCTCGTGGTGGCGTTTGTGGCTGTGGCGTGTGGCCCGTGTGCGGCGACACTTACTATGCTTGTACCAATCATCATCAGCCTATTAATGTCCCCACTGCTGGGGCACAGGCCTTCCCCTATGGATGGAATAGGGAGATTGGGAACTGACCCAACACGCGGGCCCAGAGTGGATTGCTAGGTGCTTACGACTGCAGATGCAGCCGGGACCAACGGCTTAACGTGCCTTCCGAAGCACGGAAAAGCTAGAGATAGTACATTTTTGGTCACCCATCCAATTATCGACCACTGCGAAAGTTGCTTAACTTCAACGATCGCAGCCGAACGCGCTAACCACTTGCGCCATGGAGCTCCTCCTTGTACCAATATAAGTACTTAATTCAATTTCAGATGTGCATAAA